TTTCCAGGAACAATTCCATAGATTTCTGGCTTGTGTCCCATCCCCTGGTTAATGAACTTGGGGCTCTCAGGCTATCCTTAGAGAGAACCCAGGACTTAGGCATGGTGGTCTTTCTTTCCCCTCTACCTATTTACAAATTCTGAGTACCAGCCCCGTGGTGGTCACTGTGACAGGCCCTGGGGGGTGATGGAATGGCTCAGATCCAGCCCCTGCCTCCTTGGGGAAGCCTGGTGGCCAGAGCAGAGGCATGTGGGCAAACTATAATTGTAGGCCGAACAAATAGCTGGGGACTCTCTTCCCAGAGAGCGAGGGACCTGGATCACCCTTGGTAGACTGTCTGGAGCAATCCTGTCTAACCGTGAACCTGGTCACTGCAGCCAAGCCCTATTTGTTTTCCTTACTAGTCTCAGAAACTTAACGCATAAAAACCAGAACTACCCCTAGTTCTTTTTTACTCTGACCTTTCACTGGCATTGTTACCATCCTCCTGAATCCTGGCCAAGTATGGTAACATGTGACCTTGTAGCTGTTTAATTTTCATGGCAAAGGGGAGACTTGCCCCTGCCTCTGGACCCTTCTAACCATTCCTTGTCTGCTGAACCTTCTTGTAGACCTTGTGGGATATTGCCCCCTGTTAGGGACCTCCCCAGCCTTCTTTTCTTTTGGTACCATGGGTAAATGGTTTGCTTAGCAATTAAAGCATTTTCTATACTTCTTAGAAAGATCCCAATTTTGGAGTTTAAAAATTGGGATGAGGTAAGCCTCATCAGAGGTGGCCCATCTCACACGTTCCTTAGGATAGCAAGTGTCACCTCGTGTCTAATCTAAATTCTCGATGAGGCTGCCCTATTTGAAGCTTGGAGGTACAGGATACCTCATGAGCTGCACACACTGCCAAATACAGAAACATTCAGTGCAGGTCAGGAAGGGGATCTGTGTTGGCCCATCAGCTCTGATTGTGTGTGGGTGAGTGAGTGACCAAAGCTGAGCTGTGTCTCACACTGCAAGCCTGAGAAACTCGGGAAGAGGCAGAGAGAGCTTGACATTTACTCGGAGCCCACATCTCCCCAGTTGCCAGTCAGTGGAGATGTTGCACGTTGATTTCACGTATTCACTTCTCTTTCTCCCCTCTGGGGATTCTGTACTTGCTTCACTTTTTTTGTTGTTAAAAAAAAAAAAAAAAAGGCACGGCAAAGCAGCTCTGTCTTGTTCACATGCTCAGAGATCCTCAAGGGCTCCAGCTCTCCTGCGCATGGCAAGTGGTTGAGGATCGGGGGTGGGCAGGAGACATGGTGTCTCAGACCACCTTTGATCCCTGGTGGTTACTTATGTACCCAAAATATTAAGAAATCGGGACAACCACAGCAGCTGATCTTCTCACTTCTCCACGCTGCTGCCAGACCCGGCTTCCTAGGGCACCAATTTTGTCATGTGCCTCCACTGCTTGGGAAGCTCCAGGATGAAGTCCAAACTTTTCCTGTGTCATGCAAGGCCGTGCACAGTAGCTCACTTTGACTTTCAGGCAGGCCTGTCTCCTCACTGCCCCCTGCATGTACCATACGCATGCCTTCCTGACATGCCCTCCCGCCTCCTCTTTCCCTGTCCATACTCGCTCCAGGGGTCATAAGGGACGCTCTTTGCTGGTCCTGTCATGAAACGTGCTATATCACTCTACTTTGGGCTTCTCTAGGTATGGTCTTGGAGTGGGGGCAGAAGGCTTCCCCCTGACCTAAGATCCTTTTATCTAATGACCTCTCATCAGAACATGCAATTTCAGGTTCCCTGTTGTGCTTTTAGATTCTGTCTCTTAGACTGGAAGATTCCCAAGGGTGGGAACTTGGTTTAGAGCTCAAGAGAGTAAAGAAATGGGCTTTGAAATCATACCGTTTCCTCATCTGTAAAATGGGGATAATAACATCCTTATTCTGTAGGGTTGTCATGAGGATTCGGTGAGTTACAGTGTGTGTGAAGCTGGGTGCTTGGGATATAATGAGGACTTACAAAGCTCTGATTATTCTTATAGTGGCTGAGCCAGGTGCCCTGAGGGGACATCACTGAACTTTGTTAATGGACAGACGACCTGGACTTCAATGCCCTTCCCACAAGGGTGACCAGGAGTGAGCAGAACTGTTAACTGGCAGCCTCCTCTTCTCTTACCCTGTCCTTCACCCTGGCCCACCAGGAAATAGTTACTGGCCTAAATCCACTTAGAAATGAAGGTGAAGATCCAGAGACAATGCAGAGGCTATTCTCACTGAACAAGGTGTGAATCAAGGGGGAAAGAGTTGAGAAGGTAGAGGGGCCAGCCTGGGAGCACCTTAGCTGACACCACCGAATCTCTGAGACTAGTGATAACAGGCTCTTGCATTTGCTCAGGGCTTACTTATGGTACTCAGATTGGTCTCACACCTGCCAGCTCAGTTTATTCTCACAACTCCTCTTGGGGGGAGGCTCTATTAATCCCCATGTTAAAGAGGAGGAAATGGTAGCTCAGAAAGGCAAACTGCCTTGTTCTTGATCACACAGCTCAAAATTGAGCTCAGAGTGAAAAACAGGTCTCCTGACTCGCAGTCCAGCTGGTAAATGATCTCTCCTGCATCAAAGAAGTAATGTTATGAGAATGGAGTGGCAGCCCGGAGCCCGTGGGAGCCGGTCAGGGCTGAAGAGGACAAAAGACATTAGCCATTCCAGTCAGGTGGCAGTGGGTTCAGTCAGGAGCCAGCCAGACACGTGCCCCTCATCTGTAGAAAGCATCCAGAAGACCACTGTGCCCAGCCAAGAGACCAAGGTGCCATGGCTGTGATGCTCATTAGCTTTCACTGCTGGGCAGCCATCTGAGTGGGGAAGGGGCTTAGAATAGTAACACTACTGCAGGTCCCTCTAGAGAAGTGCGGTGCTTGTACCCCTGGCTGTGAGCCAGTGAGAGTGCAGACTCAGCATGGGACCACCACAGCCAACCTGTGAGGAGTGTCTTCCTGTCCCTGTGGTTGGAATTAATGCCCCCCTCCCTCTGGGCCACAGCCAGTTATGTTCCTGCCCATCGCCTTGGTGATTAATGTCCTTCTGTCTTCCTGATTAGATTGTGTGTGTCTGAAGGGCAGGGAGCAGCACACCTTATGTGTTTCCTCAAGGGCCTGGCCCCATGCTCAGCACATAGCAAGGTGGAATAAGTGTCTAATGGGTTCCAGGGTGGACATTTCACACTCCCACTCCCACGGAGGGGCCGGAATTCCTCCTCTCTCCAGCCATCCTTGTCTAGCGCCTCCTAGAGGCCAAGGCCGCTGTTAGGTGCTGGGATACTGAGCTTGGTAAATACTTGGCCCTGCTCTCAGGGGCTCTCAGCACTCTCTTCCTCGGGGCAGAAAAGAGAGGTGGGCTTCTTGCCCCCCACGTCTTCTAGTTTTCTTTGTTTCCCAAGTATGGGAGCCCCAGATCAGCAGTGCAGACTTCTGCACGAGCCCAGGGGACACACGTGTTTTTTTTTTTTTTTTTTTTTTTTTTTTTTACAGTGGGATGCAAGTCTCCTCCTGGATGTTCCCCAAGTCCCTTAGAGCATTCCTCGTGCTGTTTCCCTTGACCAGCCCCTTTCGTGCCCTCCTCACGGGAGAGGACTCTACCTGTGTCCAAGAGCACTCCTACGTCACCCTGTCATAGGCAGGATTCAGAGGGGTAAGGCAGGACCTTACTTCTGCCACCTACTCTTCTCATCCCGGCTGTGGTCCCAGCCAGCACCGCATCCCACCCGGGAACGCGGGGGCGGTGGGGGTTGGGGGGCCTCGCGCAGCTGCAGGAGCGTCGCGGAGCCGCGTGTGTGCTGGAGCGTGCGCGCGCGCGCGGAGGGGGCGGGGAGGGCGGCGCGCTCCCCGCGGAGGCCCCAAGCGCCTTTCCCATACCTCGCGCCTCCCCTGCGGTCTCTTTTCCCTGCAAGCCGTAGCTAGACCCACGTGTGCAAAAGCGTGTGTGTGTAGCAGGGAGACCGTGTGCCCGGGGTCGGACAGGCCCCCGTGTGCACGGTGGTGGTGGGGGGGGGCGGCGGCCACCTCGACAGTGGCCGCGCTTCTTTCCTCCCTCCTTCTGTCCTCCCCAGCCCTTTCCTCTGGTTTCCTTGGGTCGTTGGTACCTCCAGCCATTCCCTTTCTCTCACCGCCCCCCTTTCTCCTGTTGAAGAGACCAGCGCCTTCCGATGAAGGTTCTGGTTTACCCCCAGCTCCAGAGCCCTTGACATTTAGCGAGGGCTCGCGGCGCACTTGTATAGGCACACAGCAGAACGCTAATCCTATTAAAGATAATGTGTCATTGGGGAGGGGGAGGCTGCCCGCCCCCCGTAAGGCCTACTGCTCATTGGTCGAATGCAAAGCAGGGGGCGGGGCCGAGGGCCCGGGGAGGGGGCTCCGGGCAATTTCGGAGTCAGGAGTCGGGGCTGGGATTTCGCAGGGAAAGCCCAGCGGTGGCAGCTGCGGCGGATCCCTCGGCACGGCCCGCCGCGCGCCCGGGCAGCCCAGGGCCGGCGAGCAGCTCCGCAAAGTCGCGGAGCGAGAGGAGGCGGAGCGCCCGCGAAGTGGTCGGGCTCGGCGCTGGGGCTGGGCAGGGAGAGGTGTGCCCGGGGACCTGGATCCTGGCGCCCTGTGCCGCGCGTGGAGCGGCCGGTGCAGCCGGGAGGCGAGCTGACGCTTTGGAAAGAGAAATCAAATTGCAGCCTCCCCAAAGACGTTAAGTTACGCAGGCCAGCCAGTTCCCGGAGAGCGTTCGCGAGCGCGCGTAGAGCCGAGCCGCGCCGCACCGCAGAGCCCTCCCGGGCCAGGCGGCTGGGAGCGGGGCGCCGTCCGAGAGGCAGCGGCCCCTGAGCACGGGGTCTGGCCGGGAGTGCGCCCGGGTACAGAGAGGGGGCGTGCAGGGCTCCGCCAGCCCGCCCGCAGCCCGCGCCCGACTTGGGCGCCCCCTCCGTCCCACTCCGGGAGCGATGCCCCCCGCCCCTTGCGCCCCCCGGGAACGACGCGAGCATGGAGAAGTCGAGTAGCGAGGATTCTTCGATCCACCGGAGTCCATCTTTGGACAGCAAGGACTCGGACTTTGCCAAGCCGTCCACCTCGGGCCGCCCGTTCGGCCGCGGCTTCACGGCCGGCGCCTTCTACGGCACCGCGGGCTCGCGGGGCCAGAGCCGCGCCGAGGCTGGCGTTAAGACTGACAAGTACAATGCACCCAAAGGCAGCAAGTACGTGGTGTTTTACCTGGACCTGTCCTTTGTTTTTCTCCTAGAATTTAAGAAGTGCAACATGGCCAGAGGCTGCCTCTGCTGCTTGAAGTACATGATGTTCCTCTTCAATTTGATATTCTGGGTAAGTCCTTGCGTTTATCTCTCCTTTGCCACCTCTCCTCTTCGTTGCTTATCCTAGCGTGATACCCTCTTCCTCCTGGCTGCTGCATTGCCCTGCTTTCTGCACAACGGTAAGTGTGGGGGTTTTAAAAAATTGTCCTCCCACCCCCCCCCCCTTTCATTCATCTTTCTCTTCCTTTCTCTCTCCGTGGTGGCTGAATGGAGGCTCTAACTTGCCTGTCTTCCAGGAGATAGTTACTCTACTCCTAGGTGGCTGACAAAGTTTGCTGCCACCTCCCTCCCCTGTAAGAAACCCATGCTGGAAGTGCCTCCAGCTGGGTAACCTGCAGAAATAGGTGTGGGGCCAGAATTTTTAACAGCTGTGACCTTGAGTGGAAGACCGGCGCAAGTGTGGATGGTTTTCGAGTTTCTTCTTGTATTTTTCCTGAATACACAAGAATACGATCTGCAGCATTTTGTGGGCATGAGGTGGGGGTGGGAGGGGTAGTGGAGGTCACTTCCTCTGACTCCTTCAGTGAGTCCCAGAAAGAGGAGAGGAGCCCCTATCCCAAGTGTAGAGACACACGTTTGGTAGCCTGCAGATATGCCCCTGAGTTAGGGCTTGTGTGGAAAAGGAGAGTGTGGGAGGGATGCTGCCATCGGGTGGCGGGCAGCTGCTTTTGAGGGATTGCAGTGGACTGGGCAGGGAGCGGGCTGGCCATGTGCTCCCACCATGGAATGCCAGCCCTCTCCAGCTCCAGGAGCCCCAGAGGCTAGAAGGGACAAAGGGAGCACCCCTATCCTTGGTGAGAGATTATTTTTTAGAGAAGGTGTCCGTGGGTGGGGCAGCTTGGAATTGTTCTCCATCCTCTGTGACTCTGGGGGCCGCATGCACACACGTGTGCGTGTGTGCAGAAGAAATACTAGTTACACAAATTTGAAAACTTCTTAAATTCACATCTAATTGTTCATCCCAGCTGCTGCCTCCTCCTTTCTTCACTAGAGCCCCAACGTAGTCAGCACAGATGTTTGGCTCTGCCCCAGGGCCTGTCCTGCCTGCTGGAGGCTGTCAGCTGCCCATGGTCCAGAAAGAGCACTGGGGGCAGGAGAAAGTCATTCACAGTGAAGCTCCGTAGCAGCCGTTGTGCTTTGATGTTCAACACTCGTGTGAAGTGATCTGCTTTAACTGACCAACTTTTTTGGGGGTGTGTGTGTGG